TGTTGTTATTTCGGGCATGAGCTAGCCAAGTGGCCGGGGTGTTGGGGACACAGCCCTGCCGCTCCTTATTTCAACAGGAAAGGCAGGTTGCAAATCTGAAGATTTAAGTAAGGTGGAACAAAGCTCTTTTAATTCTATCCAAAAGGCAGAATTATATGCTATTCTCATGATACTAAGGGATTTTAATGAGCCTCTTAATATAGTTACTGATTCTCAATATGCAGAAAGAGTTGTCTTGCATATTGAAACCACTGAATTTATACCAGATGATACAGAATTGACTTCATTATTCATATAGGTTCAGGATATAATCAGGAATAGGCTTTGTACCATATACATAACACATATTTGATCCCATACACGGGTCTGTTAGGTCCTCTAGCACAAGGTAATGCAGAAATCAATTGATTATTGATTGAAAGTGTGTTGAAGGCCTCAGAATTTCATAAAAAACATCCTGTTAAAAGCAAAGGATTAAAGAAAGAGTTTACTGTTACATGGCAACAAGCTAAGAAAATTATAAAGAGATGTCCTACTTGCTATTTCTATAACCAAACACTGCTACCTGCAGGGAGTAACCTAAAGGGTACTAAAGGAATGAAATATGGCAGATGAATGTGTTCCACTTTGCAGATTTTGGGAAATTAAAATATGTACACCACACCATTGACACTTATTCAGGTTTTCAATGGGCAACTGTTTGAGCTCAGAAAAGACTGATTCAGTACTCACACATTTATTAGAAGTTATGGCCATCATGGGTATACCTGTACAAATAAAGACAGACAGTGGTCCAACATATGTCCCTAAGAAAATGAAAGGGATTTTTTTTGTTTTTGTTTTTGTTTTATCGAGACAGGGTTTCTCTGTAGCTTTGGAGCCTGTCCTGGCGCTAGCTCTTGTAGACCAGGTTGGCCTCGAACTCACAGAGATCCACCTGCCTCTGCCTCCCGAGTGCTGGGATTAAAAGCGTGCATCACCACGGCCTGGCATGAAAGGTTTTTTTGCATATTATAATATAAAGCATGTTGCAGGTATAGCAAACAATCCTACAGGTCAGGCAGTTATAGAAAGATCAAATATATAAAGGATATGTTAAACAAACAGAAAGAGATGGGAAATATTCCCAGAAATAGATTGCATAATGCCTTATTAACCTTGAATTTTCTTAATGCTAATGAGAAAGGAACAACAGCACAGAGAGACATTGGATAATAGAAAAGTCTTCTGAATTAAATCAGCGGGTGTATTTCAAGGATGTGTTGACCTCACAATGGAAGCCAGGAGATATGCTACATTTGGGAAGGGGTTTTGCTCTTGTTTCCACAGGAGAAAAAAAGTTATGGATCAAATCAAAATTAATAAAAATTTGGTTTGAAAAAGAGAAACCTCTTTAGAAAGAGAAATGGTGACTCATCCACACAGTTGACAACCATACAGGTGGTAAGGAAACCTCATAAGGATTGGGGCAGGTTCTGTTCTTGTCTTTGCAGGAAAATACTTATCTTCAGAAAGTCAAGAGACCCTGGACATCTAGATGCCTAAAGAAGAAAAGATCCTGATTGGATCACCAAACAAAGACAATTATCATTTATGAGGACAGATCATTTGAGGATAATAATCTCTGAATTTTTTTATTTTTTCAGACAAGTTTTCTCTGTAGCTTTGGAGCCTTTCCTGGAATTAGCTCTTATAGACCACGTTGGCCTCAAACTCACAAAGATCCCCCTGCCTCTGCCTCCCAAGTGCTGGGATTAAAAGCGTGCATCACTACTGCCAAGCTGAATCTTTGGATATTAACTAGAATAATAGTCATAACTCACTTAAAAAAATCAAAGCTGGCTTTGGAGGTGGCTCTGTCTTCTGAATGCAAACACATTTTTAAAATAAAAATTCAGAGTTTCTGTCTCATGTCAGGAGCCATGATATGGGACAGAAAAAAGAAAGAATTTAGAAAAATATTTAATTTTCTTCATATCTATTTTTGTCTCTATCATACCTTACATTGAATATATGTCTGTATAAATAATGTTTAAGTTTTCCACAATGAACAATGAATTTCCCTGCAGTAATCTTTGAAGTTTCCAGGAAGAAGATGGGGCCCCACAACAATGGTTCCGCCTGGTTGATATGGCATCATGGTGCTGATAGCACTACTATAAGACCTGTTTGGGGTACCAGTGGCTCAAGATGGTCCCAACTTGGTTAGCTGAAATGGTGCAATTTTTTTTACAATGTTCTGACCAGAACTCCAAACAGGAACCTCAAAAAAAAAAAAAAACCCTACCAAAAACTCAGAGACTATTTACAATTATATCAGACTACTGTCTTGAATCTTAACCATCATATTACTTTCATGGGAACCCATAGAAAGAACATCATCTCCGTGACTGCTGGAAGTAATTCTAGAAGACAACATGCCCTCTCCCAACAAAGGTTGTCCTCAGGGCTAGGGACATCATTTAGGGATTGATTATAATTGGTATAGGGTTGGGGATTGGGGGGGGAAATTATGTAGTCTCAGGTATCTCTTTAAAAAAAGTAAATTGATGGGATAATAAATTAGTGAATATATATATATATCAATATTATTTATAGGAAATTTACATTGTTATAGATTCTTATATATTGATACAAACTTAAATTATATTGAATATGTTTCTATTTTTGTTTATAATATTTGTATACCTAGGCAAAGTTATTTTGTCCTATTGTATGCATGCATGCTTCTACCCCTGCTTAAGACATTTTGTAAATTGATACAATTTTAGAATATATTTATCATATTGCAATATACATTTCTACCTCTGATCAAGGTACTCATACATTATTTACATTTTGAGGTCATTGTCCTCATTTGTTGCACAGTTGTTTAAAGATAGTTTAATATTCTAATATGAAGTCTCAGTCTTTAAGTCATATAGGCATTTAAAATTACAGGTCAATAGTCATCCATGTTTGTCATACTTATAGTTAGACTAATCAGGTTCTTTAGATATACAGAGACTGTATTCTGCATAAATAGGTGACCTTCAACCACTTCAAGGATCTGTAGAATATGGCATTTAAATAACTTAGGGCTCTGTTGACATGAGACACAATTGCTCCTGATGGCCCCAATCTATTCCCAAGAGAATGTTGAGCACTGAAGACACTCCACTTGGAGCTTGTTTTCTTCTTGGCAAAAGTGGCCTTTGAGCAAGGAACTGCCCATGCATCAGGCACTGACAAAATGCACAATGTCCAGACAGGACAAACAGGATACAAGAAAAAAGACTGTCAAATCTTGCCAAGATGTTTTGAAAATTTACCTGCCTCTGAAAGTGGTCTGTCAGTTACTCTAGGCCTTAGCTAAAGTTGGTTGTTCCAACATTGCAAATGAGACTTTGGGTGAATGCCCAGGTAGCCAGTTGTCTCTATCATTTGTTGCACATTTTGGAAGTTGCTTGATTGCACTTCCTGCTAACTCAAGTAATATTATTTCCCTTCTCGGGTCTTTGATGGGGTTGAAGACTATATAGTCATAGTTACTTTCCTCCCATTACTTGATATTTGTTCTTATTGTATATAATTTTGTATTAGACTTAGAACTCTCTTATTTTAAACAAAAAGGGAATGTACTGTAGGAAATCCTACAGCCAGTAGCCTTTAAGTTACCCACCCACTTGGGCATGGCCTCTTATACTATAAATGCTGATGTAAAGTACAAGTTCCCTCTCTCTTCCGGCTGCTGTATTTGGTTCCTGTTGCCCATTCGTGCAGAGGACTGTGATTTGTGTGTCTACACCTAAATAAATAACTATTATACTCCATTCTGAGCTAGTGTGGGATTTCTTTTAGCATCCACCTTCAGCTGATTGACCAATAGCCAAACAAGATAAGGTTAGGCAGGAGAGCCAGACTGAGAATGCTGAAAGAAGGGTGGAGTCAGGAGTTTCAAGTAGACACAGAGGGAGCAAGATATGCTGGAGGACAGGTAAAGTCATGAGCCATGTGGCAACACATAGGATAGAAATGGGTTAATTTAAATTGTAAGAGCTATTTAGTAATAAGCCTGAGATATCAGATGAGCATTTATAATTAATATTGAGTCTGCATACCAGTTATTTGGGAACTGGCAGTTGGGAAAGAAAAATCCACCTACATTGGAGGCCAGCCTCAAATGTCTTAACACTACCCACAAAACCTCTAACAGCAAGAATAAAAATAAAAACAAAAAACCAAGAATATAGACACTGAAAAAAGCTTTGTTGAGATACACTGAACTTTGCTCCTGCTGTGATCTGGGTACCAGTCCTTATCTGGCATTGTGCATAGTTCCTCTCCTCTTCAAAACTAACCCAAATGCAATTGGACTTTTCTTTTTTGAAACTGAGAGTCAAGTATTCCAAGAAATATTTTTTTGTTGTTTTTCTACTGCTTTCAACTAGGGAAAGAACTATGTAAAAGATAACAGGCTTTACAGTTTTACAGCTGGCCTCAAATGCTGTATACTGATGATTCTCATTATCCCAATTCATGTTATATAGACTCTGAGCCAGCTTGTTGTTATGATGACAAGAAGGCCTAAGAAAATCAACTGAATTGAGGGGGAAGCTATCGCCCCTTTTGAAGGCATGCCTTAGGTGACCTACTTCCTCTTACTAAGTATCAACTCCTACAGCTTCACTGTCCACTGTCAACTAGAAATCCATTAATGGGCTAAACATTTGAAGAGGTCTGAACACCAAGATCAAATCACTCGTAAATACATGTTTTGGAGTCCAAGCTCTCAACACATGAGTCTTTAAGAAAACTTCTAACCATTACAGTAAACAAAGCATCTTCAATCAGGCTTGTTTATATGAAAATTAAACAAAAATAACACACAAATGCTATTTTAAAACCAATTCTATAAGGCCACACATCCTGCACCTATTGACTTACTTTAGAAAAAGCAGGCAACTAAAGCTTTAAAGTCTTAGAACTAATTTTGACAACCAGACTTGTCAGCTCTGTAATATTTGCTTTCATCCTTTTATTAAAGAAGTATTACAGGTCAATGTAACAACTCCCACAAAACCCATCTACATCCTCAAAGGCAACCAATACCATAAATGGTATTACTGTTCTTTGAACTGGTTTATTAAGTTACAAATATTATACCATTATTCACTGTATATTTTACTTTTTCCTCTCAAAATATTGTGGCCTATCCATGTAACTACATGTGAATTTTGTATATTTTACAGTATAGTATCCTATCATAGAAATAAACATACTGATCTATTTGTTGATGAAAATGTTACACTTTGGAGCAATACAAACCATGATTCTGGGAACATACTGATATATTTCTCTTTGTATACAAACATGGGTTACACACTAAAAGTAAATAGACTATTCCATGTTTGTGGGGTTATTTTTGATACTCTTACTCTAAAGTGACATATTCTGCTTTATTTCCATCATAGTTTTAGGATTTTATCTATTTGGATTGTGTGTGTGTGTGTGTGTGTGTGTGTGGACATACATGACAAGGCATGCCATTAGAGGTCAGAGGACAACTATGGGAGTCAGTTCTCTCCTTCCACCATGTGGATTCTAGGGATCAAAGTCAGGGATCAGGCTTGGCAGCAAGCACCCTATGAGCTGAGTCATATATGTATGGTTGAGGAGTAACATGTTTAGGTAATATGAATTTTACACATATTGAATAGGCTAGACTCATTCCAATGATTTCAGTAGCACTACCCACACACAAAATGGCCAAGTCTTGAATTTCTCTGCTAATCCTCAATTTGTTTCTGATAGTTTGCTTATTCACTTGAAAGAATTTAAATGAGAAAAACTTTAAATAATGTAATGATATCTAGTATTGAGCATCTTCCCTAGTTATTTTGTCAAAAAAAATGTTTGGTTCTTATTTTTTGTCCTTTGCCTTGTTGTATTACTCTGAAACCAGTTTATGAATTTCTTTACAACCAATGTGTAAATTTTGGGTAGATGTCTAACAGAGGTAGAAATTTGGAAGAGTACTTGTATTTTTATAATTTGCTAACTCGAGTTTTCAGGCATTCTTTTGTAACCATCAGCAAGTTTTGGAACTTTGTAGACATGCCACCCAATTACTGATTTTCTTATTGACACGTTCTTGTACAAAACCTACTTTTTCATAGTCTCATATTGCCTACCAAAGGTTGTTTCTTATCTTGCTTATCTTCTTATCTTGCTTCATACAAGGAGCTCAAGTATGTTGATACTCAGCAGATACTTTCAGATTTGAACGAGAATACAGATTAGATATCAATTAGTTTATTCACAGTTCCTCAGTCAGTTTCCTCATACAATTGGTGGTCTCACTGAGAATTCTCTAATAAATATGTGGGTTCTTCACAAGGCTTTCCTATACTCATAGCTCTCTGCCCTAGAATGGATCATGTAGTGTACTAGAAGGTGTTCATTTCATTGGAAGGCAGTTCCTACACTCAGTGTTCAGGGAGATTCTAGTGAGTGTGGATTCTCTGGTGTCTAACAAGGTGTGACTTTTGGCTGAAAGCTTTGCCACACTCGATACAGTTATAGGGCTTTTCTCCCGTGTGCTTCCTCATATGAAGAGTCAGAGATGAGATCTGAGAGAAGGCTTTTCCACATTTGCTGCAGTCGAAGGGCTTCTCGCCCGTGTGACCTCGTATGTGGATGGTAAGGGATGAGCTCTGGGAGAAGGCTTTTCCACACTTGTTACATTCGTAGGGTTTCTCACCAGTATGGCCTCTCATATGCACAATAAGGGAAGTTCTTTGAGAGAAGGCCTTCCCACATTCATTACATACATAAGGCTTCTCACCCGTGTGACTCCTCATATGTAAATTAAGCAATGAGCACTGAGAGAAGGCTTTCCCACACTTATCACATTCATAAGGCTTTTCTCCTGTGTGACTTCTCAAATGAAGAGTAAGGGATGCAATCTGAGAAAAGGCTTTGCCACATTTATTACAATCATAAGGTTTCTCTCCAGTATGAACTTTCTGATGTGTAATAAAGTTTTGTTTCTGGCTGAAGGCTTTCCCACACTCATTACATTCATAGGGTTTCTCTCCAGAATGAATTTTTTCATGAGCAATGAGATTTGATTTCTGGCTAAAAGCTTTGCCACATTCCTTACATATATAAGGTTTTTCTCCGGTATGAATTCTCTGGTGCCTAACAAGATTTGACATCTGAATGAAAGCTTTCCCACATTCACTACATCCATAAGGTTTCTCTCTGGTGTGAATTTTCTGGTGTGTAATGAAGTTTTTCTTATGGCTGAAGGATTTTCTACATTCCTTACATTCATAGGGTTTTTCTCCCGTGTGACTTCTAATATGCACAGTGAGCGCTGAGTTTTGGGAGAAGGCTTTTCCACACTCATTGCATTCGTAGGGCTTCTCACCTGTGTGGATTCTCACGTGTATAATAAGCATGGAAAACTGAGAAAAGGATTTTCCACATCTATCACATTTATAAGGTTTTTCTCCTGTATGACTTCTCATATGAAGAGCAAGGGAAGCAACTCGAGGGAAGGCTTTACCACATTCATTGCATGCATACGGCTTCTACCCAGTGTGAACTTTTTGATGTGCAATGAGGCTTTGTTTTTGGCTGAAGGATTTTTCACATTCATTGCATTCATAGGGTTTCTCACCCGTATGAATTTTTTCATGATCAATGAGATTAGATTTCTGGCTGAAGGATTTCCCACATTCCTTGCATGCATACGGTTTCTCTCCAGTATGAATTCTTTGATGTCTAATGAGATTTGACATTTTAATGAAAGTTTTACCACATTCATTACACTCATAACACTGCTCCCTACTGTGAAGTTTATGATGATTAATAAGATTTTCCTTGAGGCTAAATCCTTTTCCACACTGGTGGCATTCATAGAGTTTCCCACCAGTATGAATTCTCAAGTGTCTAATAAGGTCCAAGGTTTGACTAAAGCCTTTTCCACAATGGTTACACTTAAAGGGGGTCACTACAAAATAGGGTGAGCTATTATTAAATGATTTCATAGCATCATCATATTCAAAATGTTCCTCTGTTATTGGGCATTTTGCATTATTATGGTCATCAAGACTGTGTTCTAAACACTTTCCAAAGCAGTCATGTTCACAGAGATTGTGTCTGGAAGGGATGGAATCTGCATTTGGAGGAAATGCATTTGCAAATTTCTTAGGACATTCACTGGCTTCATCAGTCACTGTTTCCTTGAAAATTTGTCTCAAGAGTTTGTTCTGGGTTTTCTTGTGCTCATCAACTTCCCAATTTTCTCCTAAAATAAATAGCAAATAAATATCACTAAAGATTTTTTCCAATATTGAAATATTAAGTATATTTGAAAAACATATTTCCACAATTAAACAAATGCATATCTCCCATTTTAATTTAATCTTAAAAGTATTTTCATT